GCGCACAGCGGCAACGGAGAGAAACCACGCGCGTGCCCACAAAGCACAGACCGGTCTAGTGGAAATGCATCAACCACACAGAAAATCCCTAGCAAGCAATATTTGTAAGGCTTCCGCACGTCACCACTGCCTGTGGTGTACGTTTCTGCGGCGTGTTGCGTTGGGATGCATATCTCTACTTGCGTGCAGGCTGGCTACTGAGGGGCAAGCAAGCGCTCCACAACTGTCTATAGTGTTTGTATATGAAGCGAAATTGGCTTGGTTGTGCATCCATGCTGGGTTGCTTTGGAGCACGAGTTGCAGCAGGGCGCACTCCAGCTCAGCTCGCCTCCGTTCCTTTGACTACAGGCCTTTGGGCCGCCAGGACGAGGATTCAACGCGGATTCAAGCAGAGGTCTGGTGCATTTTGAAAACTGGTATCTAGTTTGACTAGGGTGGAGCTCGCGACACTCCCCGAACAATATAAAGAACTCCAGTTACGCACATGCAGATTTATTCCAGCCCATGATAAATGCAACGTTGCCGGCGACCGTTCAACACTTACTTGGTTTTCCGCAGATCATCCTGCACGCAAGTAGAAGTACGTGTAAGAATATCACAGAGACGCTACAAGAACTATGGCGCCATGACCGTCTTCTTCACACATCGAGGACTGCCGTCAAAACAGCGATGCCCTGTGTCTAAAGTTAGGTTTCCCTGTCTTCCAGCACTTGATATAACCTAATGTTCTTAAAATTTCGGATCCACGCTTCATAGCACGGCGCGGTGCCATGTACGTACTAGTGGAGGAGTTCTGCTGTTCCACCACCAGGACGAGGAGGGCAAATGAGTAAGACATATTCAGCGGTAAAACGAGTTCCCACGTACACACAAATGCACTTTTAGGAACAAAACTTCACTGGAAAAGTATATACGCGGCTGCTACATATGCCTCTTAGAGCTGAGTTCTGGTGCGTACACGAGCGCGCTCGCTCACGCCATTTTGCCTCGCACACTGCAGCCGCCACAATGACAACGTGGGGTAAGTCATTGCAATCTATTGGAGTAAATGGTGTAAACATTGGAGTAATTCCGAGTTTTGTTTGTCATCCTCTATTCATTTTTATCAGTAGGTCGACAAACACATCGGGGGCTCCCCGTGACTCAGCAGGTCTTGGGACAGGCTTCCGCGGGAGCCTGTTATTTGCCGTTGTTGCACCTTCCGTCGACATTCATCCTCCCCCAAAGCTGGAGTATATTCTATTTATGACTCTTTTTCCGAAGATCCTGCCTCTTCTAGAGCTGTACAGGTCTGGGACGTGCCGTCAATAGCCCGCTCCAGCGTGGGCGTGCCTCGTTTCGGTACGTCTTTGCATGTACACTGAGAATAACTGAATTTTAGCATCTGATTAGTTAAAACCGCACATTATCATTCACATGTTGTGTATCCTTTTGGTATATGTCTTCTACTTTTTTCAGCTGCTCTTCTGGGGGCCCCTATTGGTGGAGTTGTGACGTTTCATTGTGGTGCAGGCAGGCGGAAAGGATAGCACCATTGGAGTAACCCTACGGATGCTGTATACATCCTCATCCGTCGTATATCAGGACAATATATTTCTGTTGATATACGGGCTCTGAGATCTGGCGAACGCCACAGAATGAAGCCAACAGGGGAGGAACGATGCGCAGAGCTGACCGAGTACGGCGAGCACGCTATCTTCATTTTATACATGCATTTTGGACATTAAGAAGCTTTTTCATTGAATACACTCTCGAGCTCTTCTGTGTTCATCAGCTGCGCCTCCTTGAGCAACACTTTGAATTCTGAATGCAACCGATCGGCTGACTTATATATATATATATATATATATATATATATATATATATATATATATATATATATATATATATATATATTGTATATATGGTTTCCGACTGTTTCATTCGCTGTAGCGTCCATATCTGTATTGCCTGTCAAATTTTCAAGGGCTGTACATCCGTCTGCGTGTTGTTTTTTGTCTTCTCTGTCTACGTTGCTGTTCAGGTTGGACTATGCGCCTCAGCAAAGCACGGGTGTTGCTGTAACTGTCGATGAGCTGCAGCATCCAGCAAAAGACGCTGCGGTGACTGCAGCAGAGAAAACTCCGCAAACTCTGAATGCTTCAAAGTGCGCTCCCCGGGGCAGTGGGTGGAATAGTGTTGGCCGCCACTTCCGAGCGGAGGTGATGAAGATTCTTCGCCTGCAGATAGACTGCGGTTTGTACAACAACGACTGGCGGCTGGTGTATGGGGGGAGCTCCTTGGTTTGCCTCCACCCCTGTGCGTTGCTGGTGGTACGCGCGGCTGCTGTCATAGGCCATCTGACGGCATTGATCTTCGAGAACTTTTATAATGAATTGCTGTTCTTCACAACCTGGACAAACCTGATTTCTCTCGTGGCCTTCTTTCTCTCCACTGTAACCAGCATAGTTGCAGTCTGTTCTCTCAGCGATCAGGGGCGTCTGGCCGAAACAGATGGAGGGTTGGATCCCTGCGCCAAAGCTGCGCCTCGTCGTGGCCTTTTATCTTTTTTTCACGATGTTGCTACAGCATACAGGCAACTCCTGAAACAGAGGGCAGAGCTCAGCTGCATGGGCTCCCCTTCAGACTCCAAGGACCTCCAGCTGCGCGGATGCTGCGCTTTCCGGCGGCCTTTCAGTGGTAGCCCTCGTCGCCCTGCTTTGGAGGCGTTGCTGTGCTCGCATGATATCGCGTGGAGTTTTGCACTCCCCATGAATACCGTCATGTTTCTGGTTTACTGGATACTGCTGTATCCGCAGGGGAGCCATTCACGGCTGTGGACTACGGTGTATCTGCACCTCTGTTGCCCCATAGCAACCTGGCTGCTGGCTCTTCTCTCCAGAGCGCCGTACCGACTCTCCCTGCTTCCTCTCGGAATCCTGCTTGGTGTATTCTACTCAGTTTTGATTGCCATTTTGCAATGCTTCGGCATTGGCTTCCTGTACTGGTTTCTGAATTTTCAGAAACGTCCTGCTCTTGCCTGCGGGATGAGCGGCTGCACGGTGTTTGTGCTGACCCCGCTTACTGCCTGCTTAGCTTTCCTCGTATTGCACCGCAACTACCTCGGTGTCTTCCCTGCAAACAAGTGAAGGACTGAGCTGGCGTTGGAACCCCATCACGAGGCATATCTGCGCCTGACTCGCCTGATGCTGCACCGATGTTCGCGGATACCGTCTCCTGTGTCCTGTGAAACAATTTCGTATTGATGCTGTGTTCCCTCTGATGCTGTCACTGATGTATGTGGGCGCGCGCAGCTGCTGCTGCGTTGCTCAATAAGTTTCCCTCCATGTTTCCAAGAGAGCGCCAGGAGGCGTTTTTCAATATTGATTGGTGTTTATTTCACATACATTCTGTTTCTACTTGCAGCGTTCTTTTTTTGTGGAGTATGTGTCCGGGTGCTGACCGTTGCGAGGAAAGGGGTTTTCATGAAGCGGGAGATATCTTTTTCTATGGGGTTTTTTTGAAGGCTAACTGCCGTCCAGTGGAACAGGACGGTGTACCCGTCCTGCGGTGTTTTCTTACTGGAGGCTCCCTCTATACAGAAGGCTTAACTGGATGGCCGCGAGCATCCAGTCTGAATTGTTTTTACACTTGAGTGGTCTCCAAAGACGTCATGCCAACTACAACAGAACTTCTTCCCCGTATGGAGCGCCTGGGGCAGACAACGCGCAGATGCTTGCAGGTCCAGCTGTACCAGATAAGGTGTTTTTCTGCGCCGCTGGTACTGCTGCGACGAGCTGCGCAGTTTATTGGATGGATTTTTCTCCTTTCGGGAGGACTTCTTTCACTGCAGTTTCATAACATGGCTTTTTCACTTCTTTTGTTTCCTCTGTCTGTCTACTTTTCGCAGCTCTCCCTTGATACCCCTGCCTTCAGGCCACTGCATAGAGTAAAATGCAGCATCTTAACAGCAGCATAGGCTTCGTCGGCAGCCAGAGAGATAGGCACGCACACAGCTAGACAGCGAGGGAGATAATAGCTAGGCGAGGAGAGGAGAGGAACAGGAAGTAAGGGCTCGCAAAACAGACACACATATACGGCGAGAATGAAGGACAACCGACAGCGAAGAAGGCCCAGAGGCACCTGAGCTGCCTTAGCCTGGCACGTTATAAGCTCTCAAGCCAGCAGGAAGGACAGTACCGACGGGCATCGGTAGCGTTGCACCCCATGGGTTGAATAAGCTTTGATAAGTTATCATAAATAAGCTGTTTCTACACCACCTGCTCAACTGGCAATGAGAGATGCGTTTAGTTCTGATACAAACTGAATATACTGCATTCCGTCACAGTAAACTGCCGCACGGCCGGGAACTCGTCCAGCATTTGCAACAAGTGCTGTGCTGTGCCTTTGAAACAATGACGTGAAATAAACGCGGATTCCGCGAAAAAAACTCTTAAACAACCTTATACACTGCCACCTGCTCACTCGCTGCAGCACGCAGCTTCCCTGCATCCTTTTCTGCGATCCGTCACTCAAGCACGCAGCAGGCCTGGCCTGTACCGAGACAGCCGCACAGCGGCAATGGAAAAGCCAGTGCAGCAGTTGGCACTGAAGGATGAAGCTATAAGTTGATCCCTAGAAGGCTTCGCTCTCGGTGGAGCTAGTGTTGCCAAAAAGTTTCAGCTTGAGGCAATTGCCGTCTCGTTCGTACAGAGGCAGAGGCAACTGTGAAAGCCGCTGCTCTTTAAAAAGAAATATAGGTCTCGGCAGATACGCCGGAATTGCTAGCTGCTGCTGCTTGCAGCAGCATGCCATTGCTGTTGAGTTGCTGCTACTAGTTGGTAGTCACAATTTGACGGAGCGCAGCAGCTAGCTTCTCCTCTTGGTCCTTGGGTACAAGACAACTCTGCCAGTTGACTTTATCCTTCTCTCCTAACAACTCCGCCATAACTTCTCTGCCGAAGTTCATCGGAATCTTCCCGCTATCTCTCCCTGACTGTACATGCAAGTACCGCTCAATTGACTGACCCCGCGCGGTGCAGACGCCCGGTAACTCCAAATAGAAATACCCCACATTTGGGTCCTTTGCCAGCTCTGCTAGCGCAGTTATATCCGACGAACTAGGAAGCTTCTGCAGCGCAAGGCCAGCCCGCCGCCCGCGTTTCTACGTACAGATACAGAAAAGGAAACACACACAACACACAAAACAAAGATCCACCTGTAATCCTGATACTGCATAAAAGGCTAAGTAAGGAGTATTTTTGCACTGAAATATGTCGTTCAACTGTGAGACACGGAGAAAGTTTATAAACATAAGGGAGAGAAGAATATGATGAATTGCTTCACCTCAAACAACTCCCCCGATTGCAGGGCCTGAGAACGGTCGCAGGGAATGAGCTGCAGCTGACAGTGCATCGCCTTTGTGGTCTTCATCGGAACATACCGCTCGTACACAACCAAGTCCAGATTCTGCAGGCATTCAAACCATAAACCCCCCAAACCACTAACATATAAACCCTAAAACATGTATTGCTTGATGCGGCAAGCCGCCTTGGGTCCTTGTAGCCCGGAACTCCACCGTAATATTCTATCACAACAACATATATCTCAGCCAGAGAGAAACCTGCCGAGCGTTGCTGTCATGCTCATGAATAAAAAGACGGGGAGTTCAGCTAGATGCAGGATATAAACCTCTTAGTGAGACTGCATGAAGAGCCTCGGTTCAATAGGCAGCAGCTGATCAAGTCCTAAAGTTTGAGCTACGTTTCAGGTTGGTGAGAGAGTGCGTCTTCACCTGTTTGTGGAAAGCCTTGCGAGCGGCAAGCAAAAGTTCCGCTGCCTCTTTCCGTGTGTCCAAGTCAGCGTAGGCTAGAGAGGGTAAGTGAGCAATAGGTATCAGAAGCATATGAAGAGAGGTGAGCCCCCCCTTCGGTATTGCTGTATACAGACGGTCCGCTATGTCTACAATCATGTGCTTCTCAACCTGAGGATTCGCCAGGCAGAACCAGCAGTCTGCATGTGGCTCTGTGGCAATCACATCGCTGCACTTCACTCGCTTCTCCCCAGCAGGTCTATCGAAGGGAATCTTATCGTAGTACAAACGCAACCGAAGAGCGCGGCCTCCACCCTCCAGCTGGCCAGTCGCTTCTGCTGCTTTCGCGGCGCATTTGGGGTCAACATACACCACATACCTGCACACACCAGCAACACAAACAAACCCACAGGCCCTT